GAGTGTCCAGGTGCTAAGTTTTTGTAGGGCATTGAATTCTTCAAGCATAGCAGTTTGCCATTGAGGGTGTTTAGCAGCCTGATTATAAGTAAGAGGGGTAGGAGTGGCAGTTGTGTGACTGAGCAGATTTAGAATTTGCTTGGGTTTGGATATCCCGGATTTGAGTCTCGTTTGCATCATGTGGGTTGAGTGAACAGAATTTTGAGTGGGTTGAGTTGATGGTGCACTGGGTATTTTGTTCACAGTGATGCTGGGTGAAGAGTTAATAGGTGAAGCAATCGGTCCAGAGGTAGTTATATTTTCGGTGATAATGTTTGGAGCCGGTGTGGTGTGCTGGACGGGCTGAACAGACGTGGCAGAGGAGGGAGTTAGCAGAAGCGGTGGGATGGAATGCGGAAGTCTGGGATTAGTAGCAGGCATTGGAGGAATATTGTTAAGATAGGGAAAAATGGTCTCATGAAACACAACATGACGAGACAGGTAAGTTTTGCCGGTAGATAAGTTGAGACATTTGTAACCTTTGTGTTGTGGAGAGTAGCCAATAAACACACACTCTTCGGATCTGGGTGCAAGTTTGTTGGGTGCGTAAGGTTTCAACCAAGGAAAACATAGGCACCCAAACGTGCGAAGATGAGTGTATGAGGGAATGGTGCCGGTTAGTCATTGATAGGGGCTGTGAAGAGAAATGGCAGTCGAGGGAAGAAGATTTATTAGGTAGTGTGCCGTAGATATTGCTTCAGTCCAAAATTTGAGCAGAAGATTGGCCGCGTGAATTAAAGTGCGAGCAATTTCAAGAACATGTCTGTGTTTGCGCTCGGCTAAGCCATTTTGTTCGGGAGTGTGAGGGCAGCTAAATTGTTGAGCGATGCCATTGTCTTGTAGGTAAGTTTTAAACGCTTTACTTGTGTATTCTCCTCCGCCGTCAGAGCGGAGGATTTTTGGAGTTTTGTTGAATTGTGTTTTGATAAAATTGCAAAGAAGTTTAAATTTCGACAATGCTTCTTGTTTGGTATGCATAAAGAAAAGCCAGGAGTACCTTGTACAATCATCAATAAAAAGTATGTAGAATTTGTATCCATTAGATGATTTTATGGAGTTCGGCCCCCAAACATCCGTATGGATCAACTCAAAAGGAGCTTTAGTAAGGGAAATGCTTTTATTGAAAGACAATTTATGACTCTTGGCCATATTACAAGAAGTACAGATAAGGGAATTGGAGATATTAGCTAGTTCGGGTATATGAGGAGCTAAAACTGGCATAAGTTTGTGGTGAGGATGACCAAGCCGAGCGTGCCACATATTTGTGTTCTTGATGCGAGCCGACAAAGCAGTATGCAGAGTAGGTGGGGCTAGGCTAATTTGATAGAGTCCGTTATGAAGACGCCCACGAAGAAGCGTGCATTGATCCTGAAGATCCTTAATCACAAACCCGTTAGAATCAAAGCAAATAGAGATGGAATTGTCAGTTGTTAACCTGGACACGGACAACAAATTGTGAGTAAGAGAAGGAACATGAAGTAAATTTTGGAGACGAAGCTTACGAGGCGTGTCAGGCAAAGGTAGAAGACCCTGGCTGGAACTTTGAATAGGAAGCGGGGCGCCGTTTGCAATCGAGACATTGTCGGATCCAAGATAAGGACTAGCACATTGGAGGTTCTGTCCGTCGGGAGTAAGATGGGTAGAGGCCCCGGAGTCCAGAACCCATTCTTGGGTGGGAGCAGAGTTCGGGTTGGCAAGAAAGGCTCGAGGTGGCCGCGAGACAGTAGGTGCATACTTGAAATTGCATATGTGCCAACAATTTAGAGCGACGTGACCTGGTTTCCCGCAAATTTGACAAGTGGACCGAGGAGAATTGGTATTGTTCGGAACATAGTTTGGCACAGTGTTGTTGGCGGTGACTGGCTGCATCTTGTTCTTGGGAGGACGTTTTTGATATCTTGTTCTGGATTGAGTGGAGGAGGTGGTGTACAAAGCACTGACTGTAGAACCAGACGCCTGTTCTTTGAGATTTTCTTGATGCAAGTGAATTTTCTCATTACAGAGGAGAGCATAGAAAGTGTCAAGGTCAATTGGTAGGAGGGAATTACGAATAGTAGATTTGAACGAGTTGTACGATGGAGGTAAACCGTTCAAAATATGAATGATAATATCTTCCGGATCAATTTTGGATCCGGAGGCCGAAATATTGTCAACAATCGTTTTGATGTTGGTGAGATATTTTTCGATTGTAAGATCTTTGAGTTGAACATGATAGAGCTCGTTCTTGAGCTGAATGACACGAGATCGGCTCGTAGGTTGAAGGCGTTTTTCAAGAACAGCCCAGGCTTCATGAGTGGTAGTAGAGGTAATGATGTATGGAAGAATTGATTGAGATATAGTAGAAAACAGGGCAGATAGAAGATTACTATCGACGAGTTTCCAGGCTAAGTAGTCTGAAGTAGAAACGTCGGCAGGAGACGAAGTTGCGCCGGTGAGATAGCCGACTTAACCATTGGCCTTGAATTGTTGCAAGATTTGCGTTCGCCATATAGGGTAATTATCAGTCGTCAGAGGGTAGGGAAGAAGATTCTTGATGTTGGATACTAAGAACTTTAGTGCAACAGGGATGGCAGAGACAGTGGTGGAGTGATCGGTGATGTGGTGGAGGAGGAAGGAGGAGGAGAAGTGAGAGAATCTTGATCTCCCATGATGGCTCTGATACCATGTTAGAGGATCTTGAGAACCTCAGGAGAGGAAAGAGCCGAAGCAGAGAAACATGAAGAAGGAAAATAAGAAACTGTATATTCAATACCTGAATGGTTACAACGTAATACATATATAGAAAATACAAAGATAATAACGTAAATACAAGAGAAACTAATTTTATATATTTACAACATGAACCCGGGTAAGCTCCCTTCCCATCTCCATTCCCAAGTCTAGAAACTATTTAAATTTTAATAAAATTTATTAATATGCATTATTACATTATACTGTTATTTTTTGTATTTTTTTTTAAATAATAATTTACTGTATCAAGTCGTTCGTTTAACAAGTAACTTGTTATAATATTTTTTTTTTAATATTTTAAAATAATTTATAATGCTGATGAGACAAATAAGTCATCCATTAAATGAATGATTATGCCTATTTTTAATTTTTTTTAAATATACTTAATCACATAATTTATTTATTAATGATAACTACTTTTAAAATTTGCCTACCATTTAGGTGAGTTTGACAATTTGGCTAAATGTCCCAGCAAGAGTAAAACTCATCCGTACGGTGCACGTGAGCTCATAACTACCATTATATTCGCGAACTAAATACTCATAACGCGGTATCGTAATCTGTACCGCCGGCTTAGCGAGGCTACGCTGTTCCAGTGCTAACATAGGGGCATTTTACAACGTCGGGGACATGCGTTTGCCATGAGACCATCACAGAGAATCAGATCAAATTTTGATAAAAATATTCTCAACAATTTTTAATTAAAATAAAATATAAAATTATTAAATTAATTTTGAGATTAAAAAAATTTAAAAATTAAATAAGTTTAATATTTTTAATACTATCATGATAGAAAAGATTAAAAAAAATGATAGAAAAGATTAAATATTTAATGATATTTTCTATATATATTATACTAAGATGAAATTCAAAACGTTATATTTATTTTAAGATTAATAAAATATAAATTTTTATATATAAAAAGGTATGATGGCGCTCACACATGAAAGAAATTATTATGTGAGGACACGGATCATTCAGAGACGAATGAAAGCGCGCTACATCATCCGGTACATAGTACCAATACATAGCAAAAAAAATGACGTTGCACATTATAATTCGTCTTCAGATGTCATCCGGTGTCTGCAAAGAATAATTAATCCACACATGAAGGCCTAATGAGCCTGCCTAAGACTAGTTAACAAAATTAAGAATATGTTAGACTATATAAAAATTGAGGTTTAGGAATGTTTGGAACAACAATTTTTTTATTATCGTGTTTATTAAGACCATAAGTATGGCTTCATTTGAGACTCTTTTTACTATTTTATTTTTCGGATCACAATAGTTTTACTATCAATTTTATAAAATGTAATTTTTGTGGTTGAAAGATGCTATCTAAAATAGCTTTTAAAAATATTACTTTCTCCAATAATAATTTTACAAACAATTTTATAAAAAATTGCAACAAACGGATCCTAAATTTCTAGCTAATAATTTCTGGCTTATTTCAAACTGAAATGGTAAGCATGGGCGGATCCCCATAGAGTTGGGGAAATTATTGGGTCAGGTCACCGAAGACAGCTTACGTTCGGTATTCACAGTGCTGAACAGTGCCGAGCTCGATACTGCTTGGTACTGCTCAGTATCGAGCTCCATACCGAGTAGGAAGTGATGTGACGCATTTTTATTGGGCTCCGAACACGTCTGATGATCTGACCCAATAATTTTTCTATAGAGTTGAGGGGGGGGGCCACCCTAAAAAAAATTTAGAGGGGATATTTTAGAATATTTTGAATATTTTGGACATTTTTCCTCCTCTTAAACAATTTTTTTATCCTAATTTTATTAGTCTTATGCGTTTTTGGCTATGCCAAAATTTTTTTTTTTTTTGGTCCATGTGACAAAAGAAGCTGAGTCCGCCCCTCATGATAAGTATGAGAAAATTTCGGGTAGAAGCAAATTTTAAAATCGTTTTGATAATCAATTCCAAACAGAGGTGATTTGCTTTTAGCGAGCGGAGAGCGACTCCCTTACCAGAATCGACGACGGGGGAGAGAGAGAGAGTGTGACTGGGAGGAGAGAGAGAATGGAACGTGTGGGTGGGCAAGAGAAGAAGCTTCCATTGTCCGACCAGTCAACAACTCCTCCATCTTTCTCCATTTCTTAGTTTAAGAACTCAACCTGCTTCTTCTCCGATCCGCTTCTCGTCCTTCCCCACAAATCCTCTTTCTTTCATCAATACCTAAACCAAAAATCTGACCTTTACCCTAAAATGTCGATCCCTCTTCTCCTCTTTGTCCTCCTCCTTTCTCTCCTCCCCCTTTCTTTCTCCCAACAAAGCTGTGCCCATGACATCATGCCCGAAAACAAACTCTACTCCCTCTGCAACTCCCTCCCACAGCTCTCCGCCAACCTCCATTGGACTTACCATCCTTCAAACTCCACCGTCGACATCGCCTACCGCGCGCCGCAGAGCTCCGACGGCTGGATCGCTTGGGCTCTCAACCCTACCGCCACCGGCATGAACGGCGCAGAAACCATCTTCGCCTTCTATGACTCCAAGGGCGTCATGACTACTGTCACTTATCCCATCACTTACACGAACACGACTGTGAGGAACTCCAGCCTCAGCTTCAAGATTTATAGCATGTCTTCTCAGTTCTCGAACAATGTTATGAGTATTTACGCGACTATTGAGCTTCCGAACAACAAGACGAAGGTGAATCATGTGTGGCAGTCTTCGACGATATTCACGAATGGAATGCCTTCTGGGCATGCGGCTACTGGTGCGAATGTGAGATCGACGGCGACGCTGGATTTGCTCTCAGGAGAGTCATCGGGATCTGGGAACTCGAGGCTGCATCGCAAGAATGTAAGCGCGCTTGAAATCAACGATTTTGATTATTTGATTCATGATTCTCCGCCATTTTTAGGGATATAGAGCTGCTTCTTAGATCCATGGGTGCTTATTGCCTGAAGAATTTGGTTTGCAGGAATCAGGGATGGTTTGTTGACTTGTTCTGATTCTTCTTCAAAATTTATAAGCTGCTGACTCTGATTTGTCTTTTGGGCATTTTTTTTTGTTGATAGAAATCTCATTTTAGAAAAAAAATATATTTTTTTTGTTGGGTGTAATCATAATTAGCATCAATTTTAAACTTTTATAAAATTTTCAAATATGATAAACATATTTTCATATTGAATGAATTGAAGTGTCTTTTTTTAAAAACTTCAATTTTTTTTCTCGAGTACAAGGAACCAAAGGAGCCCTTTTGTTTGGATTTCCTGATTGCGCTGAAGATTTATGAGCAACTTCTGGTTTCTATGTAGATCTATATCTGAAGGACAAATAATATCGCAGAAACCGGAAATTGAAACATTAAAATTACTGGGGATTTGCATTCTCCAACCGAACTCCAAACCTATGAATAGCGTCGCTCGCGAGCTCCAGCCGAACGGCAAAACATCCGGTATTTGGTTGCGGGTAAACAATGTGATGTCAATATTGGATTGTTGCACTGTTCACCTGCGTTATTTTTTGTCTATACCGGATTTGCCGATGAAACGCGCGAAGGAGAAAGACGGTTACCTAGACGCAAAATGGAGTTCGATTGGAGGAGAATCACGCCTTTTTTTTGTTACACTGCATTTTAGAGTGAAAAATGAGATTTTCGGTTGGAGATGCCCTTCCCACAAAATTCTTATCTGCTATCTTAATGGATTGCAGATCCATGGAGTTCTGAATGCAGTGAGTTGGGGCATTTTGATGCCTATTGGAGCGATCATCGCGAGGTATATGAGAGTGTTCAAGTCTGCAGATCCAGCATGGTTCTATCTCCATGTTGCTTGCCAGTGTTCTGCATACATTGTTGGAGTTGCTGGATGGGGAACTGGCCTTAAACTCGGCAGCGACTCAAAAGGAATCACATATGATTCTCACCGCGATATCGGGATCGCTCTCTTCAGCCTTGCTACACTTCAGGTATACCTTTCTGTACATCTCCATTACAGCATACCTGAATTTTTATCAATCTGCAAAAATCTTTCTTAAGGAAAATTCAATAGGATGGTGGTGAAACCTGCAACGCTTTATGGCGTCGAATGTTGGCCATTAAAAGAGAAGCATAATACTAAGTTAAGTGTTGCAAAGATGAGGATGCTTAGGTGGACGAGTGGCTTGACCCCTAGAGATAGGATACGAAATGAGCATGCACGTGAAAAGGTTGGAGTAGCTCTAGTGGAAGATAAGTGATGCGGTCATCCGTTAAGTACTTTGCTCATGCGGAACATTTGCTCTGGCCTCCTGACGCCCTGGACAATCGGTTATGGAGCAGCTTTTACAATTTACTGTTTTTCTTTAATTAAGTATTTTATAATTTGTTTTTGCTTTATTACTCCTGTGGGGAAAGGTCCCGGGGATCATCTTCTTCATTAGAAACTTTATTTTGGGCTTGAGAAGCCTTGTTACTGTTCCATTAGAACTTCCCTTCCTGGTTTTCTTCTTTGTGCGTGTAGCCGCTGCATTAATAAGATTAGAAAGAGTCGCCTTAGATGGTTTGGTCACATTAAACGGAGGCCTTCTGATGACTCGGTTAGGAAAGTTGAGGTATTAGATTTGACTTATGTTAATAAAGGTCGAAGTAAACCTAAAAAGGCTCGGTTAAAAAATATTAGAAATGATATTTCTTTATTAGATTTAAACGAGAACTTGACTTTTAACCGGACATAATGGCAAAAAAGGATTCATGTAGCCGACTCCATGTAGTGGAACAAAAACTTGATGTTATTGTTGTTGTTGCAAAAATCTTTCTAAGATATTATGCTTCTATCCATCTCGGTCGCTTTCGTAACATATCATCTACATCCTTTGATGAATTAATGTAATATGGTCTTAGAAGATATACAGGAATGAAAGTAAAGTGTAACTATCGCAATTTGTGGCTAGATTGTAAGTCTGCAAGTATTGATTGATTGATTCCAGTCCTTGAACTATTTTTTTTTTGTTTAATTCTACTAAAATTCATATAATCCTATAAACTTGACTAAACTAGTTATTTTATACTTGAAAAGCCTGTAAAAAACTTCTCAACTCCTGCAAAATTATGGCTTTTCATCAAAACTAGGTACTTTAAGGATGGTACGTAATCCTTACAGGTTACTTCTCATGAAGAAAACATTGATCACAAATGGGCATCCATTGCTGTTGAATTCTGATGGATTTGATCTAAAAATGTATGTAGGTGTTTGCATTGCTTTTAAGACCCAAAAAGGATCACAAATACCGCCTCTACTGGAATATTTACCACCATGTAATTGGCTACACTGTCATAATCCTCAGTGTGATCAACATCTTCAAGGGATTTGATATCCTGGACCCTGAGAGAAAATGGAAGCATGCTTACATAGCTATAATCGTAACTTTGGGCGGCATCGCCGTCGCCCTTGAAGCCATTACTTGGGGCATCGTCCTGAAGAGAAAGAGGTCAGATAGCTCCGAGAAATCGCATCGGGGCACCAATGGTGTCAATGGCCTCAATGGCACCAATGGTTATGGTGCAAGCAGGCAGCATCAGGTAACTTAGAACAATACATGCAGAAGAGTTATGGATGAGGATTATTTCCTTGTGTGTGGTGTTTTGTGAGATCTCTTTATCTTTAGATGTTTACAGGCATAGAGAGGGTGGTTGATAGAGCTGTAATTTTTAATAGGTTTTAGATTTTGTAGCTGCAGATTTGTCTGTGCTTTGGCTTTTAGATATAGTTTTCTCTATGTTTCTTCATGATTGTATGATCAATGGATTGAGGGTTTCCAGTATAATCTATTGGCTCCTTCTGTATGTAAAATTAGCCAAATTTTTTTTTTATATATATTATTTATATATTGAGCATTATTTTAGTCAGTCTCTTTATAATTACCAAATGGTTTTTTTATTGCTCGAATTTCTCATTAATTTATTTATATTTATTCAATCATTATGTTATCATTTGAGTTCATTTTGTTCTTCTATTTTGCATTAAAAATTAGTAAATTTTTAATTTATTTAGTGGTTTGTAAAAAGTATTTTAGGAAGGTATAAATAGATATCATGAAATTTTCTTTTAATGGTTCTTGTTTCTTTGCAACTTTTTTAAAACGACTTTTTTTTTGTTACAATAACATAAATCAATGTATGATTTAGCTTTATATTTTATTTATGACAAGATAAAGTATACTAAAACAGAAAAAAAAAACAAATGGATGTTATTTATATGAAAAAATAAAAAATACTTGCTATTTAAAAAAAATATTTCAGAATACTTTGCTCTAGGGGTGTCAAATAAATATTTGACACGACCCGAAAACCTGACTCGAATCCGACCCGAAAATTTTGGGTTAGGATCAGGGTTCATGTTTAACAAATTGACTCGTTTCAAAAATCGGGACGGGTTCAGGTTGACCCAAAAACCTAAAATTGACCCTTTTTTACCTGAAAGTCCGTTTTGACCCGAAAATCAGATATTGACGCGTTGTTTGACCAGAAAATTAGCAAGTTTTGGTCGGCCCCATGTCATTTGAGTCATGTCGGGTTGACGCGAGATCTGAAGCGGGTCAGGTTGGGGTCCAAAAAATTGAGTCATGTTCGGGTTGACCCGAATAATGCCAACTCAATTCTGAGTTTGACCCGAACTCGACTCGTGACATAAAATTGACACCCCTACTTTGCTCAACAATATGATAAAAATTATAGCATATGAAATAATGTTCTTACAACTTAACTAAGGTTTTGTTTGACATAGCTTTCTTAACGTTTTTTAAAGCAGTTTTTTAGTAATTTTTTTTTTCAAAAAATTATGTATTGAAAAGCTATTTATAAAACACAAACGAAGCGCCTAAGAGAAAGAAAAAAAATAATAAGTCAAATAAATAATTTTTTAATATGACCTCCCTCCAATTTTCTATGCATAGGAGACAAATGAGGAGAAGAAGCATTCATGATAACAATTAACTGAAGAAAATGAGGAGTTGCCCCAAAAATTTGAATTAGAGTTGTTATATTGAAAATATATAAATAGTCATAGTCTTAGCAACAAAATACAAGATGTTATTGGTAATTAATTCTTTAATATCTAATTATTGTTTATAATAAGTTCTTAATTACTATTTTTTATCATGTAATATGATGGGGTAATATAATATGAAAGCAATGGAAAATAACATACATAAGTAGTCAACTGCCCATGATGAGAACTTAGGGGTTAAGATAATTGGGTGGTCAAGTGAGTTGCTTTGGTGAGCTTCCACTAATATTCTTTGAATATCAAGCAATCTTTTGATTGGATTTTTAGGCCATTATGTGAATGACCCATCTTTTTCATCTAGAAGCTTCATATTTTTAAAGGGTGGCAAAGTGGAATCATATAACTTGTTATTTCATGTAATGTAATGTTCATATTTATGATTATTATATTGTTTATATATGATGATATGTGGGCATTAATAATTGTGCTCATAATGTAACTAATTTTTTTTCATTAATGTGTTTCTTGACTAGTCACTAGAAGTATAAAAATGAAAAATATTAGCAAATTGAAGTATAAAAATGAAGAATATGAGCGATGTAAGGTACAAAATTAAAAAAAATATTGATATTGTTTTCCTTCCTTTTTCTATTCTTCATTTGTATGAATAATCTAAAAAATTTCATGGAGTGTCTCTCTCAACATTGCTATGAGATATTTTCATTTCTAGCTTTATGTTGTAATCAAAATAGAAAATTTCAATAAAATAGATTGATTTCATGTGACATAATTTCTAGATTATTTGGGTTATCTAGTGCTTCATTTAGTTGTTTAATTAGCCCTTCTTAACTTATTTGATCTACGTGGGATTTCGGTACGTATATTTTCTTATCACAGGTATTAAACTAACAATTTATTTGTAAGTGTAAATTTGGTTCAAGTCAAATCATATAAACCTTGGTATTTTTTTTTTAATATTTATACATCTCTTTTATGCATTTTTATTAACACTTTAAAAAGTAAATTAATAATATCATAAATCTTCAAAAAAAAAAAAAAAAAAAACTTCTTTTAGCATTTGAAAGGACTAAAAAAGTCAAAGCAACTTCAAAAAAATTTGACACCAATCTTAAAGCATGTTGAACAGTTGACCACACCCTCTTGACCTAAACAGCTAAGACTTTGAGAGGATACTAATGTGTCTTGCACATGAGGTTCATGACCAAATAAAGTAAAGGATACTATTTATATATAGACCCTTAATTTTTTTTTTATTTCTAACCACTTTATATAAAATTTGTAAAAATAAGGGAAGAATTTTGCAGGTTTTAATGGGCAATTAGAAGAGGTGATATTGAATAGATCTTGTCTGAAAAATAAAAATAAAAATAGTAATAATAATATTGCATGGAGCACCTTTTTCTGTTTTTTTGTTTTGCATATTTTTTTATTGACTTGTATAAATGATGTCTTTGCATAGTTTTGTAGGAAATAATGACATTGCCTATGTTTAACTTGTTGAAAATTATTGGTGCATATATGGTAGAGAGAGAGAGAAATATATTGGTCATCTTTTAAATAAAAAGGTAAAAAAAAAGAAAGAAAAGAAAACCTTATTTTTTATTTTTCAAACTCTTTTTACACATTTATCCAAATAAATATCTGAATTTGACCCTAGAGTATCTCATAGAAATTTACCCCAATGCTCAAGTAGTTGATCTCAAAGTAAGAGGGCTTAGAAGATGTTGAGATGAACTTCCTTTAAGCCAATCTTGGTAAGAATAAACTTCAAAAAAAAAAAGTTATAATAAACTTAATTTAGGCTTCATTTGGGACAGCTTTTTTACTGCTTTAGAAAGCAGAAAGAAAGTTTTCCCAAATGAAGCCTTACTCCCTTGATGAGATATTTATGGGTGATAGTAATAGTATTTTTGATATTTTGATAAAGATATGATGTATATTTAAGCCATCATATTTGAGAAGTTGTGTTGAACGATTACAATATTTGATTAAGGGTAATTTTGTTATTGGTTATATTTGAGGGCACGATCATCCAATATTATTTCATGTGTTGTGTTGGATTATTATATCATTAATATATGAGATTAATGATTATGTGATACTGATCATTTTATTGTGATTTGTGCTTATATTTCATGATGATTAATTCTTCTTTCATATTTATATGCTTTTGTATCATTATTATAATGGAAAGAATTTGGACGTATCAATAGAGGATATCAATGATATCCTTTTAGTTTAAATATAACTATGATTAATTTAATATTGAGATTTAGACTATTTTATCTTATTTAGATTTCTTCTAAGGCTTGCTATCATCTCAACGCTCAGTTGAGAAGACTGAAGCCCATTTAATAGATCTGCATGGGCCGAAAGAGATTTGGGCTTTGCCTGTTTCTGAAGGAGGCTATTTCGGTATTTTCGCTTTTCCCGAGGCTTTTAGTATCTCTTTCTCCCTCTACTCTCTGAGAAATTATTGGGTGCGGAGTGCGGATGTAGCTCTGTGTGTGCAAACGAATTGGGTCGCGCCACGTGGAGCCCATCTTGACCCCACCGACTTGAAGAGAACGTGTGCTCAATATATTGGTCATCTTTTAAATAAAAAGGTAAAAAAAAAGAAAGAAAAGAAAACCTTATTTTTTATTTTTCAAACTCTTTTTACACATTTATCCTAATAAATATCTGATTTTGACCCTAGAGTATCTCATAGAAATTTACCCCAATGCTCAAGTAGTTGATCTCAAAGTAAGAGGGCTTAGAAGATCTTGAGATGAACTACCTTTAAGCCAATCTTGGTTAGAATAAACTTAAAAAAAAAAAAAAGTTATAATAAACTTAATTTAGGCTTCATTTGGGACAGCTTTTTTACTGCTTTAGAAAGCAGTAAGAAAGTTTTCCCGAACGAAGCCTTACTCCCTTGATGAGATATTTATGGGTGATGGTAATAGTATTTTTGATATTTTGATAAAGATATGATGTATATTTAAGCCATCGTATTTGAGAAGTTGTGTTGAACAATTACAATATTTGATTAAGGGTAATTTTGCTATTGGTTATATTTGAGGGCACGATCATCCAATATTATTTCTTGTGTTGTGTTGGATTATTATATCATTAATATATGAGATTAGTGATTATGTGATACTGATCATTTTATTGTGATTTGTGCTTATATTTCATGATGGTGAATTCTTCTTTGAGATTTATATTCTTTTGTATCATTATTATAATGGAAAGAATTTGGACGTATCAATAGAGGATACTAATGAGATCCTTTTAGTTTAAATATAATTATGATTAATTTAATATTGAGATTTAGACTATTTTATCTTATTTAGATTTCTTCTAAGGCCTGCTATCATCTCAACGCTCGGTTGAGAAGACTGAAGCCCATTTAATAGATCTTTATGGGCTGAAAGAGATATGGGCTTTTCCTGTTTCTGAAGGAGGCTATTTCGGTAATTTCGCTTTTCCCGAGGATTTTAGTATCTCTTTCTCCCTCTACTCTCTTGCCCTTCCTCCCTCGTTCTCCATCTGTGCAGGACGCACAAACCCTAACCCCGTTCTAACTCCGCCTCCGCAAGAAGGGGTACTTTCAGAGCTTTTGACTTCCATATCTCTTGCAATTGCTTGCTTTCTTTTGTTAAGATCTCATGTATCGATCTTTTTCAGGCATTTCTCGCGATTCTTTGCAGAAGCGGCGTGCCACTGGCGGCAAGAAGAAAACTTGCAGAAAGAAACGAAAGTAATCTTTGCTGAATTTCTTCTTCTTGAGAATTACTGGTTTTTAAGTTACAGCTTTCCATTTTAGCGATTAAGGTTAAGATGTGGGACTGAGCTCGTTGTCGTTACTTCTATGTTTTCTGCTCTATGATGGTGATAGTGATGGATCTCTATAAGACTGATACTTATAAAAATTTGGCATGAATCTCCATACATGCTTGAATTAAAAAATCTCAAATTTAAATTCAGGATAATTCAAATTCTAATTTTAGCAAATTCTTAGTGAAACTTATTGGGAAGTAAACCACACAACAAAATAAACCAGTAAATGTATTAAAAAAAAAAAAATCATAGAGTCATACCACACAAAAAAATTCACAATAAAAATTAGTAAAAATTGTACAAATATCTCTCTGTCTTTCTTACTCTGTGCTTACCTCACTTTACTTCTTCACATCATTCTCAACTTGAAACACATTAAGAGACATTTTTCAAAACACCAATGAATGTAATCTTTCAAATTAAAACATGAAAAATGAGAAAGAAAACTTTTCAACCCGACTCGTAGCTTCGCAGAACCAAAGTTTGGAACGCCGTGGAACGTTGCGGCGCTGCATTTTTTTCTCCAGCCTGACTAGCAACACTACGATGTTGGCTCTATAGTGTTGTAGCACTCCAAGTTCTATCCTCAAATCAAGACTAAGTCGCCGCGCAACAACTTGTGACGTTGTAGTGAACAAGTGTATAACGTCACAACACTCTAATTATAATGTTGCGATGTTGTATGAATTTTTTTCTTTTTGGGAGCCCCCTACAACTCCAAGGTGAGCCCAAATAACGAAATTGAGGTCTAAGTTAGCAATACAATCTAATTGATTCACACTATTAGATTCCACACAAAACTAACATAATCGAAATTCTCGGCGAGGCGAATCCATCGATATAAAAAATGTTCCGATTCAAATCTAAATGAGACCAAATGAAGTATTTGAAGTGAAATTGAAAACTTCATGATATTAATTAGACAATTACACGGTCAAAATATAGATCGAATAATTTATTTATGAATTAATATTGATTATAGTTGAAAATTATTTCTTGAATGCATAGAAATTAGGCCAAATAATATATTTTAAAAGGGTGTTCCAAACATTTTTAGCAAAAATATGTACATTCAATCCAAAGATTGTAAAGGCCCTCTTGATTACGCCAAGGCCCTTTTGACTATATATTTATTTTTTACTATGAAATATAATTATGATTGAAATAAAATAAAATATTAAAATTTAATATGAGAAGGATTTTATAATAATAGAATATGTCATTCCCATACATTTAGTTCCATTACTGTCCTTCCAGAAGCTTCCTACAATTATTCTTTTTTTAAAGAGAAGTTTCAGACACTGAGCGACTTGAACGACGTGAGCTTCAGAAAATTCTCCCAGCTCTTCTCCCACACCGTCGCCTCATACTTGCCTGCAGTGCCATACAAACCGAGGTCGGCGACGATAATGAGACGGTAGTTCACGCCGGAGACAATCTGAGTATCGCCTGATTGCACGCTAATTAGCCTCAGAGGCTTTGGGGCATTCTTGTTGTGCTCGTCCACCGCGAATTTCGCGATCTTCTGCACGTGCGGGTCGCTCAAGTTCTTGATCGGCTGCCATCCGCCGACGAGTGGATCCCTCCGGGGGCCGACGGAGGCGGCGGAGGTGGAGAGTGAGAGGTAGGCGGCGAGGAGAAGGACTGCGAGAAAGAGGTGAGATTTCATTTTAGGGTTTTGATGTCTCTGTTCGGTGATTTTTTTGTGGATTTATAGGCGGTGCGGTTGGTCTGTATTTAATGTTTGTGTAAATAAGCATTTAATATCGTAACCGTCAAATATATATTTTTTATTTATAACGTAATTTTTTAATTTGGTATTAAATAAAAGTTTTTAATTATATTTCTTCTCATAAGAAATTCTGATCTTACATTTATAAATCTCCATCGTTTATTTTGAAAGCTTCAGATTTCATTGGGTTCATTTGCCGTTTCAATCGGTTAAAAAGCCGAACGATTAGCGAAACAAAAAATTTAAAACACTGCATCCTTCGGTTTCTTCAGTTTCTTCTCCCACTTGCCGAACGCACCGTTCGTTCCCTCTCATCTTCCTCTCGCCGAACACTGAACACATCACCGCACGACGCTCACTGCACGACCGTTGGCCAGCCTTCGTCGGAGCTCTCGTCACGACCGGAGGAAGCTGGGCAAGCTTGACGCCGGAGCCGAGTCATTAATTGTATTAACTTCAGGATAGTTTTATTTTATTTGGTAGCCTATATGACTACATAGGATTAGTGCTCTCTTGTATTGAGTGTAGCCTATTATGGTTACATTTGTCTATAAATAGGAGTCATTCATTGTAATTGAGATAGATTTTGATATGAATAAAATTTGAGTTTATCTCATGTGTTTTCCTGTATCCTAAGAGTGATTCTTAGGTGGTGGATCTTTCCTCCAAGAAGTTCTTGGAGCGGTGTCCGGCGACCGTCACTGGATTGTCGACGTGGATTCGTCGAGCCCCCTACCTGGCCGGTGTCATTTGGTATCAGAGCTGAGAAGATGCCTGAGAGAATTTTTGCCTGAACGTGTTCCGAGAAAGATGCCTCTCTTCCTGTATCTTGAAATTATTCAAGTGGTGGTTTTCTGTCTCTATCCTTGGGACTGCTAGCAATCTCCTTCCGTGGAGATACCTGGCCAAGGCTAGAACCGTGTTAGGTGGCAAAAGATAAAAAGAAATAGTCTTCTTGTTTATCTCACATTTGTCCTATATTCTGTCTTTTTCTAATTACTAGTGGTGGAAGAAGACAGAACAAAAAAATAACAGGTCTTCTTGAGAACCAATCGGAGGTGTTTGTTGATCCTTTTGGAAGGCTTGGCCGTTTTCTGTTCAGAGGTGGCCGTTGGTCTCTTCACCGATCTGGGTTGAATTATCTCCCAGCAGCAAGAGCTGCAGCCCAATCCCTCCTCCGGATTCTTGTTCCCAGCAGCCAACTAGCAGCTGCTTCGATCATGAAACCAAGTCCGGGGCTTGCAGGAGCAAACTTTTCTACGTGAAGGGGCTTCCGTTTTTCTACCTCGGCTCCGTCAGGCAAACTGCAGCTTAAAGCCAAGAAGTGCCAGAAATTTGCCGCTGGATCATCCTTTAAAGCCATCGGACTCACATCTTCAGGCACTAGTTTCTCCAGTCTAACGAACGGCTCCAAGCGTAGGAGTTCCGCAGCTGTTCTTGACTGTCTTGAATAAATTCTTGAAGGATAGAAGCAAGATGCCTCTCCGAAGAATGTTGCAACAAGCTGAAATAGAAGATCTTCAGCAAAAAATTATTCGACTCAAACGACGATTGTCAAGGCTTGAACGAAGGAAGTACGTGAGCCCCTTTTCCCGGGACTTTGATGGCATTCGTCCACGAGATGATCAGATCTCTTCTATCTACGAAGACGTATTTGACATACCACCTCGTCAGTCTTCCACTACACCTTCCATCGAGTTTGGTTTCAAAGAATTTGAAGATCCGTTGCCAAAATCGTCTCCTTTGCCTGTCTTTGATGAACCTGTGTACGACGTGTACGATGATGACATGTTAGGTGGAGTTCTTGATCTTGATCAACCCATATATGATGACGACGCGAGCAAGATCCATGAAAGTTCAAACTTCATTGGACAAGCTCAACATTTGCTTTGTCAACTTGGAATCAGAGAAGTTGGATATGAGCACATAGATTTGAACTTCTCTCATTCACAAGAAACATTTGCTTTTGTAAAGCCACCCAACAACGATGGGTTTCTCTCCAATTTCAAATGTCCAAGTAATATGTTTACCACCTACTTCAAATCTAACACACGGGCTGAAGAAACTAGTTTGTTTTCTTGTATGGAGCATAAACCATTCCCTGAGTTAACCATGCCGGGGGTTGTCAACATGATTCCAACAAATTTTGGTTCTTCTACTACCCGATCAAATGCCTTTGATGTTTGTCAGAATTCAACTTTGATGCATGACATAATTGGTCAGATGGATCTCAAGTCTAATTCAACTTTGATGCATGACATAATTGGTCAGATGGATCTCAAGTCTAATTCAACTCTTGAAGAGTGTCGCTTACATGTATTACTACGACTCCTGCTTATGTTGAAGTCTCTATTAGATGGGGCGAATGATACCAGATGCACCTATCCAGACCCGTTTAGCCAACCAAACCCACCTCCTTATGGTGGTCAATCAGACATTTTCCTATAAGCCTGAAGTTCCTCCTACCCCAGTAGTATGACGCCGGAGCTGAGTCATTAATTGTATTAACTTCAGGATAGTTTTATTTCATTTGGTAGCGTATATGGCTACATAGGATTAGTGCTCTCTTGTATTGAGTGTAGCCTATTATGGGTTACATTTGTCTATAAATAGGAGTCATTCATTGTAATAGAGATAGATTTTGATATGAATAAAATTTGAGTTTATCTCATGTGTTTTCCTGTATCCTAAGAGTGATTCTTAGGTGGTGGATCTTTCCTCCAAGAATGAACGCACCCGAAAATTAGCCATTTTCTTGTTGGAAATGGGTCATTCGGGTCGTGTCGGGTTGACCCGGACCCGAAGCGGGTCGGGTTCGGGTCAGGAAAACTGACCCGTTTTTAAAAACAGGTCGGGTTCCGGTTGATCAGAATAGTGCCGGGTTAGTTTCGGGTTCGACCCGAACCCGACCCGTGACCCAAAATTGACACTCCTAATTTTTAAAATATAAAAATAAAATGAAGTGCCAAGATAATTTTTGAATGAATAAAATGAAAGACTAGGATTGCATATGGGAAGAAAATCAAGCTGCTTTTATAATAGTAGTATAGATATATTAATCATAATTGTTGTGTCCTAGAACATTCGTGACAGTAGAGAAATAAAGTGCTTAACGTCTTAGTTTTGAACGAAGATCAAACGCATATATAAATAGAGATAGAGGGGTGCAATAGCTATAAGAGACACCAATATTTTTACGTGAAAATTCTGAAAAGGAGAAAACCACTAGGTTTGACTCAGTTAAAATGATTATACTGGTTTTTTTTATTGATTACAAATGAAACCCTGCCTTGGGGAAATGTATTGACTCAATGTAGAAAATATACATCATATAAAACACATTATGTGGGGGAGTAGGAAGAATCTATTGATATAAGAGTTGTTCATAAGAGAGTGTTGGCTTTTTCGTTTGGCTGGTACGAATGTAATCAGGTGACGGAGGTCGAAGGGACTGTAGTCGGCAGCCAACGGTGGTCAGAGGGACCTTAGTCGGCGAGCAACAGAGGTTGAAGGGATCGTAGTTGACAGATGATGGTGGTCGGAGGGGCAATAATAAGCTAAGGATTATAGTCTGAAGATGGGCGATGGCCCAATGATGGTCGACGGCCAGACGAAGGTTTGACTGTGATCTAAAAACTGGCGGAGGTCTGGCAATGGTTGGTGGACAGTCGGAGGTCTGGTGGTGGTCAACGGATGAGAGGTGGTCTAGCGGCCTGGCAAAGGTTCGACTGTGATTGGCCGACGGGTGGTGGTCCGGCGACAGCCTGCGGTTATCCGACTATGGTTGACAAAAGCTTGTCTGCGATGGTGCTTGGGTAGTACTCTAAGACCCTTGAAGCCTCAGAGCTCTCTCCAATCTCTTGCTCAAGGGCCCCCTCATGTAGAGAGTGGACATATATTTATAGATTTTTTCAGTGACACATCCCGTAAATATGGAGAAGATCCATGGCAAGTTTGGAGTGCTCCAATGGATGACCCATATTGATCCCCTCGATCATAGAGCATTTGTTAAGCATTTTTGTTCCCAAAATGATGTTAGAATTAAGCGATCTTGTGCTTGTTGAATTAGTCTCGTTCAGCCGCTTGATTTGACTATAAACATGTTATATTTAGAGATCATTTGGTCATCCAGTTAATGCTTTTAACATTTTAAATATGTTTTGATCCCTTGATTTGGACCCATTAGTGCTCGGATTAGACCAATTTTTGTGTCATTGGGTTCGTCTCTTCGAGATGTTTAATTTGACTATAAGTTTGCTAAAGTAGAGTTCAGAGATCCCGAATTTAATTTTGGAAATTGTCAACTCATATATGCTTTGAGATTCATGCCTGATCAAGATGATTTTTTTATGACATATCAATAATATTAATTCCACATGAATATATCGCAATGAAATCATCAGTTCAACATGAAACCATACAGACGTGATTCATCTATTGCATCAACATTCAAATGAAAATATAATCCAACTTATAAATTCAAAATAAACGATAAATAAAATTTACTGATTGGTTGATTTATTTATTTATTTATATAACTTGCATACATAGGATGTTATTTATTTCCATTACAACTTCTTCTGAGTCAGAATTCTTAGAGCTAAGGCCTAATCCACTTAAATGAAAGAAGCTCAAAATTCCCACTGCTCTTCTCCAACACTGTCGCCTCATACTCAGCTAAAACACCATAGACATTGCCAACACCAACAACAATGATGAGGCGGTAAAGGGCGCCAACGGAGATCGTAGTTTCACCGGACTCCACTTTATAGAGCGTTAGATTGGTGTGGGAGTTCTTGTTGTTTTCATTCACTGCGAATTTAGCAATCTCCAACACGTGCGGGTCGCTTAGGTTCTTGATTGGCTCCCATCCAACGTCAGATAGTCCCCTCCGACCGCTGCCACCGCTGCCGCTGGCAGCGGTGACGAAGAGGGAGGCTGCGAGGACAAGGGAAGAGAGGAAGATGAGGTTTTTCATTTTAGGTTTTTGATGGATTTGTGGAAGGATTTTATTTGAATTTATAGGCTACAAGAGTTAACCCGCATTTAATATTTATGGGATAAGCATTTTGACATGTAATTGTTTATCTTTATTTATGGAATAATATATTTTTTAAGTTTGCTATGGGATAATACTTTGTACAGATAATTTAGTCAAAAAATTTTAACAAAAATGCCATTAGTTATATTTAATATAGTTCAAGGTATTTTAGAAGTTAGCTAATTTGAAGATGTTGAAGAGTAATATATCCATGAATGCTAAATTTACTTATATAGTTCCTCTTTCATGAATGTTTCTTACATTGAATATTTGTAACAATATCTTTCATACATTGAATGTGTTTCTTTTCCTAATCTTCAACTTTACATCTACAATCATTTTTATCATTTATAGCTTCATTTGGAACAGTTTATCACTGTTCTCCAAAACAGTTTTTTAATCAAATTTTTTTTAACAAGAAAATTTTGTACTAAAAATTTCCTTTAGAAAGCAACGAGAAAGCCGTACCAAATGAAGGTTTTATTTGGGACGGCTTTCTTTCTGCTTCTTAAAGGAGTTTTTTAGTACAAAATTTTTAATTTTTATGCTAAGAAGCTGCTTTAAGAAGCAATAAGAAAGTCGTCGCAAACGAAGCCGAAGTCTAAGGCTTCATTTGGGACAGCTTTATTATTGCTTCATAAAGTAGCTTTTTAGTATAAAATTTAATTTTTTATACTAAAAAGTTATTTTAAGTAGTTGAAAAGCTGTCACAAACGAAGTATAACTCTATGAAAAAGCTGATAATGGCTTCTCTGTTAGTTATATTGCAAACAGAATTTGTGCAAATAACAAAAATTCCTATCGATATTGCTGTAAAATGCACTTCGTCCATCTGCTATGTCAATAAGGCTGTCTCAAAATACTGTTCATAATGATCATGCCTCGTTTGTCATTGCCATCATGGCTTATGTTATTAATCGATGATATAAGAACTGTAGAGAAGAGCCTTCATATTGGCATCTGCCCACATACTATAAGACTAGCACTTCACCATTTTTGCTAGAGATTGTATAGAAATTTTTGTAGGTGTTGTTCAGGTGTCCACACCTGGCTAGGGGTGTCAATTTATGACACGGCCCAAAAATCCGACCCAAAAAAGTTGGATTTACGTCGACTTGATAAAGAAATGGGTCGAGTTCATGTCCTATTTTGAGGCCCATTTTTAGTTCTGGTCGAGTTTGGACCAACCCGTCATAGCCGACTCAACCCTTCATTGTTGTCGGCATGTTGCTCAGTCGCTGTTGTTGCTGCTCGGACACTCAGTCGATGCATTTGGCTGTCACGCACGCCACTAGTGGGCCTAACCCAGATTGGCAAACCACACTCGCACCCGCCACCTAACGGGCTTAGCCGGCAGACCGTGCTCGAACCACTGCATCCATCTGCCTTCTGCTGCATGGTGCACCGTTAACTCCCGGCCCGCTATTCCGCACTGGTTGCAATCGACTAGACCTCATGGAACCTAACCCTATTTTGGTTTCGCGGGGCGGGTTGGGTCAACCCCTAACCCGCGCGCGCAGGTCGGGTCCGAGTTGAAAATCCCGACCCATTGTTAAATCAGGTCGGGTTCGGGTCAACCCGTTTACGCTTGGGTCAACTCAGATTGGACTCAAACCTGCCCCGTTGACCCGAATTGACAACCATATTAAGCACCTAAGTGGATTTAGGCTTCATTTGTGACAGCTTTCTTACTATTTTATGAAACAATTTCTTAGTTCAATTTTTTTTTTTGAATTTGAAATTTTTGTACTAAAAACTTGTTCCATAAAACAGTAACAAAGCTGTTCCAAATGAAGCCTTAATAACATGTTGGCTTTAGTGCCAGCTATTGAGAACTTATATTGTTAGACCTTCACAACCACCCTCAAGGATGAGACATTGAGATGATTTCATCCTATAAAGGGAGAGAGAGTCCTATAGAGATTGCATTGTATGTTTTATTACTGATAACATCGATGTTCACCATCACAAATTAGGATATCGATGCATGCTATTGACACAAATTTAAGCATATATTTATAAGCTTTATGAGAAATTTATAAGCGCGAGTTTTTCATATATGAAGCATCCATTCACATAAAATATTTTGATCGGAGTATCATCTCATAAAAGGGATTAAGTACATCATCACATCTTGATCTTTGAGATGGTTCGATCTAGCTCATCCATGTCCAAATCAAATGTCGTATATATATACTTCCTATTTCATTTGAAGATAACTAAAATTTTATTTTAAATGATCAAAATGAGTTAAAAAGTTTCTTTAAAAAATCAAATATAATGATTTTAAAATTTTCAAAGTTTGGTTTTAAACGCTTGTCCTGTTGTCCACCACCTCCTAGCCACGGCCATCAAACGATAATAAGGGGAAGAAATGGGCGTATTGGAGAGGCTTTGAATGATGTAGGAGTTAGGATGGGTTAGAACTCTCTGCATAAATATCCTTAGTTTTCAAAACATTATAAAATATCCATTTAGAGGGAGCTCCAACTTCTATATGAAAAAAAAAAAGAAAAAAGAAAAAAAAAGAAAAAAAGGATCCTGTTTGTGATGGCTACAACATTTATAAAATTAATTATGAAATTGATGTGAAGAAAACAATATCGCTATTATGGATGCTCAAAGCATGTTTCTATCATAATAATTTCTAAAAAATAGTTAAAAAATTATAAAAAAAAATAGCAGCAAAATGAAATTATATTTGTTGCTTGAAAAGTAAAGTAGCTAGAAAGCTATCTCAAATGGACCCTTAATTTGGCCGCCGTAGCCAATGCCACCTACGTTGGCTGTGAACTATAGGTTTGAGCTCGAATAACCTCCCACCACCACGCATGTTCATTTAAAAAGAAGGTGCCACTCATACTTTGGTTCAGCACTTGGGGTGGTGGAGAAAGGTGAAGAAGTAGTTGTTGTTGCATCTTTATCTCAAGATCCAATAGTGTACAAATAGTTTGCATATGGTCTTGTCCTATAGATCTACAGGATGACTTGGTGCAATGCATGCATGGTCTCAACCACTCGGGTCAACTGCAAGTTGCCATTTGTGCGGGTCCAGTTCAGCTGATCATGATTTTAAGGGAATTTAAATTGAATCAGAATTAAAAAAAATAATTTTGGAGTCAAAATTCATGAATTAAATTGCATTATATTCCTCAAGTTATAAATAATTATGAGATCTACATCAGATGACCCTCATATATGGTAAGTTAGTATTCCTTTCTTTAGTTTAGATTGTGGCTCCTCTAGGTTAGGTAATTCATCTTTCTTAAGTGAGACTCTCTTCCGCCTTTTTAGGTTAATCATCGTGTCCAATAGGTTAGATGTATTTTTCCAACTTAGCTGACTTTCTTACTAGCATAATCTGCCTCTTTCTCATATGATAATCCTCCATTTCTTAGACCGATGATCTTATCTTTTAGAAGTAGTCTTCTATAGATATCATTTTTTTTAAGGATCAGTGCACCCTTTTCTAGGATTGTTATATCTCTCTAAGAGAGCTATTTTTTACCTAGTGTAGGCTTTCTTTCCTTAGGATTTTCTTCTTATTTCATAAGCTAGATCCCTTCTACTCAAGATTAGTCATCATCACCTTTAGGTTAGCCTTCTCTTCATAGGTTAGTCAAGAATAGTCATCATTCCTCTATCCTCCTAACTTTTCCCTTTAACCCTTGTGTGCTATAGAGTTTCATCTTCCTTATAGCTTGAAGCATTACCTAATTTTTTGGAGGTAAGTCCCATCATCGTTAATTCTTTCTTCCATTGCTTCCTTTTTCTTGAGTGTCCTTATACTGGGAACATATTCCTTGAACACTAAATGAATGATCTTCCTATAGGAATGAATTTTTCATGCAAATGATTCCATTTGCTTTAATCAAAATATAATGACTATGTTCCCCCTATACTCAAAGCTTCCTTATGCTTTCATCGTATCATAAATCCATTTACAAACCATATTTGAGCCTTAATATGCTTGAGCTCACCTATATCGTGAATTGTCTATTTGACTATGCTTCAACCCACCCCAACTCATCTCATTGTCTTAAATTTTATAGATTTTTCTTATATGAACATATCAAGCATAGATTTTACATAAACAGAAGGTCAAACAACCTCTCTTAATTGATGTTTTTCACAAGTATTCCTCTTGATGTAATAAAACTTAAGAAAAATATTCTTTTGGGAAATCTAGAATCCCATATTATCTCTTTTAAATATGAGTACTTTTATGAGATTATGACATTGACTTACATATCAGTGGAATCATGATTCTCTAGAGTATATTGGTCTAGCACTGATCCTCTACTGAAATCTATTGATACTATCCCACGTCAGTGTTCCTTGATGTCATATCTCATCCAATATTTCAAAATTTTTATTGCTCAAAATATATTATAACAAATCTTATCATTGTTGATTTTTTTTTAAAATTAGTGCAATATAATTCTTGATTGATTTTCTATATGCTTTATGCTTATCTTATAAAAATTACAACAACTATTTAATCTATCATGACCTAAAATTGACCTTAATATCTATCCAAAATTTCTAATATATTATTTGTGATATATATTTAAAATTTGGTAAATCATATGCTTAGATTAGAAGTGGACACCATCGAACACCTCTTAAATTTCTTCAGGAATAAAATTTACTATTTAACAAAACTTGGTTTAAAATTCTATTGAATATTTGAAAATATATAATGATGCATGTTGGTATTCATAACAAAATAGAGAGTGACAATCTTATTATTATATTAACATTATATGAAAATTTGACACTTGTACAAAAAATAAGTTAAGAGGCTATGTGACCAACAAGATATTTATTATTGGTAGGAGTAAGACAATGCTAGGTAACAAATATAGTAAGTTGACAATAGTGAGGGTAGCTTTGGCATTCTCTACAAATCCCATATTTTTTTCTAATGAAAAACATATCCTAAATGAGTAGAATAAGAAATATTTATTTATTTTAAAAGGGTGGTTTAGTCATTTCTATTAAAAACTTGAATAAATCATTGGAAGTTTTGAAGAGCTATTATTGATTATTTCTTTTTTTTTTTCATTACATCTTAGTACTTTAATGATCTCAAAATTGATCAATATTAAGCTCTTCAAATTCATTATATTGATGCTTTGAAATATGCTTACAAGCACATATTTGATTTAGGCTCACTTGAACTCAAATCTAAATGTTCTTAGTATCATTTGATTTGTTTTGTCACATTACGACTTCGTTAGGGACAACTTTCTTATAACTTTCTAAAACAATTTTTCAGTACAAAATTAAAAAAACTGTTATTGAAAACATTAAAGAAGTTGTCCAAAACCAAGCCTACATTATCTCAATTATATACTTATTGAAAGCATAGTTCATATGAATCATGATCAATTTTTAAATTTGTTTACTCAAATAGTCAATATTTTAGCATCATTAAATTGCATCAAAATCTATTTTCTGATGTTGATAGCCATGAAGACATGTATGTACATTTGTAGAGCATACTTCAGACAAATTTGATTGACATTTAGCAATGGTAAATATCCTTTCCACATGAACATATCACAATAAATAATCAGTTCAAGATGTGATATCTCAATTGCATCAACATTCAAAGAAAAATATAATCCAAACTATAAATTCAAATCAAATAATAGATAAAAACTACTTATTTATTTATTTATTAGCACAATTCTCATACATTTGATATTATTTATTTCCAATTATTAGCACAATTCACATACACTTGATATTATTTATTTCCATCATGATTTCTTTTCAGCTAGGGCCTAATCCACTTGAATGAAACAAGTTGTAAGTTCCCCCTGCTCTTCTCCCACACCGTCGCCTCATACTTAGCTAAAATGCCGTGAGTGTTGTTGTCAGCGACAACTACGATGAGGCGGTAAAGGGCGGCGAAGTTGTTCGTAAATTTGCCAGAATCCACTTTATACAAGATCAGAGAAGTGTGGGATTGCTTGTTCTGTTCATCCACTGCGAATTTCGCAACCTCTTGCACGTGCAGGTCGTTTACATTCTTAATCGGCTGCCATCCAATATCATATATTCCTCTCCGCCCGCCATCGTCCCCAGCTTCAACGGAGAGGGAGGCAACGAGGAGAAGAGAAGTGAGGAAGATGAAGGATTTCATTTTGGGGTTTCGATGGATTTGTGCTTGGATTATTTTTGTATTTATAGGTGGTGGATTGGGGCACATTTAATGTTTGTGGGGATAAGTATTTTGACGTGTAATTGTATATTAGTATTTATGGAATAATATAAATTATAAATTTATTTATGGAATAATGAATTTTAAAAAATTCTAGTCAATTTATTTTAAAAGGAATACAACATTAATTGTATTTAATTTAGTTCAAGGTATTTCAGAAGTTTGCGGATATTGTATGTTTTTATTGGAAAAAAATTGTCATTAAGCATTAATTGTATTTAATTTAGTTCAAGGTATTTCAGAAGTTTGCGGATATTGTATGTTTTTATTGGAAAAAAATTGTCATGTTTTTAAATTAAATATATTAATTTTTTTTAATATTTATTTAGTGTTCTTTAATTTGAAGAAGATGAAGAGTAATATATCCATTGATTGTTAAATTTACTTGTATAATTTCTTTGATGAATGTTTCTTACATTGAACATTTGTAACAATTTCTTTTTCATAAATTTATTGTGTTTTTCTCTAATCTTCAACACTAACTCTACAATCATTTTTTATCATTTAACTCTATGAAAAAGACATATTTCTAAAAAAATTCGTATATTTCATGTGAACTGAGAAAGCTAATATTTTCTATTGAATAAGAACATTTATTTTTAGATGTTACTACTCCATCTTATATTTAATACTATGTAATTGTAATTTTAATTTTCTTTGATTTGAGGATGAGGAAGATTTATTTTAATATTTGGTACACATCATCACTTATGGGATTGATGCATGTCGTTAATACCATTGCTAACATCTATTGAATTTATTGCACATTTTCCTCATTAACTTCGATCCACACCATCACTCGTAAGGATCATCAGTAAAAACACTATTAACAAACAATTTTTTCACTTTGCATCACTAACAACATCGATGCATGCCATTTTTAAGTCCAATATATATTGTTGACTCAAATGTAGATTCCTGAAGTTGCTAAGAATGTCAATGCACGTCATTACTTATAAGATCAATGCAAGTCGTCAATACTAAGGCCAATGTCCACTGACTTTATTGCATATTATGATCTCCAATGTTGATAGATATCACCACACTTTATATTGATGCGCATTGTTAACATAAAATATTAGTACCTAACTTTATTACCTATTATCACCAATAACATCAACGCATAATAATTTCTATATGTCCTACTCATGTAGTTGATACCAATGCAAGTGCACATTGACTTCATTAATTATTGTCGCCAATAAAGTTGATGCATGATATCACCAATTAGGTTGAAGTGCTTAGAGTTGGAGAGAGCACTTGCTTAACGATGGAGTAAGAGTAACAAACAATCATCGTTGATAGATTAAGTTCTCCCAACTATCATCACCCAACAATCACGACACATTTATGATCTCCCGACCACCATCTCTTGATTATCATCACTCGTTGACTTCATTGGTAGAAATATATGTAAACCATCACTTATAAGGTTGATGCATGCCATCGATACAAATATCGACGCTTTCCAACTTCATCTCCACACCATTGCCTTTAAAGCAAATACACAAGATCGACACAAACATTGATGCTTGTTGACATCGTCATCCAATATGGTCAATAACAACAATGTAAGACATAACCTAAAAATCAATCCACTTTGTCAACACAAACACTAATGTCAATTTACTTCATCAAACCCCTTCGCCACCAATATCAACATTGGCTAATAGTTATAAGGCAGACACACACCATTGATGCTCGTTAACTTCATCGCTTGTCATTGCTACCAACATTGATGTACAATATCACTTGTAAAATCGATGCATATTATTGACACAAATAAGGATGTTCACCGACTTTGTTTCTCACAACCACCAATAGTATTAATGCATTTCATCTCATATAAAGGTGATGAACTTCGTCGACATAAACACTGATAAACTCAAACTTTGTTGCCTATCATAATATCATTGCACATCATTACCTATAAAGAAAATGAATGTCATCAATAAAAATGTTGATGCACATCGACTTCATTGTCAATCATCACCAATAATATCAAGGTGCGCCATCCCTTATCAGGTCGATGCATATTGTTGATGCAATCATCGACGCCCACAAAATTCATCATCCACAACTACAAATAATATTAATACATACCATTATTTATAAGGTTGATGCACTTCATCAGCACCAACATTTTCTCCCATTGACTTCATCACATGCATTTGTCATTAATATTAATATATTTCATCGCATATAAGTCCAATGCACATCATTTACACCAAAACCGACATCTACTTTGTTACACATCATTATCATCAACATCAATGCATGACATCACTATCCGACGACTAAATTCACTACAAAACAAGTAAAATTTGCCTCTAAACATGCTTCACGATGGATTTGCAACGAAATATAGTATGACGCTAAAAGTTATGTTGGAAATATATATACATCGGACACAATCCGCTGCAAAACCGTCACAAATATTTTATGGCAGATTTATAACCGATTTACAACAGTTTTAAACTCCAAAAAGCAATGTGCTCATTATAACAGGCTGCCACAAATTTCTCCATAAATAATGATGAATTTGTGGCGGGAATACTGCCGCAATTTACATCATTAATTATGGTGGATATTTGACATAATTTACTGCAAAAATTTTGTCTCAAATCTACCGTAAATTGCAGTAGAAATATGTAATTAACTATAATGATGCACCATATCGGTGTTTGCGGTGAAATTTTTGTCATAAATTCACCTAAAACCTATTATATAAAACAAAATAGCACATTATATCAATTATTTAGCTTTTCATTGTTTTAAAGTAGTAGTTAATAATGTTAATATTTCAACAAACATTGCTATAATAAATATAGTTCTTATACATAAGAAAAAGTAAAATGCATAAAAAACCTAAGACAATATAAGCTGAATATATATCCTTACTCTCCTACTCGGCCAATACAGCTACATGCTTATTTCCACTAATATGCTCTCCTAATCTCTAAAGCTTATCTGGTATCTGCATGTGCATGTCCACTTGTAATTTTTGGACATGGTCTAGCTCTGCTGCCAGGTTACTTGTTGATTATACAAACTCTCTTGGTTATTTGCAGAGTAGATGGAGGCACATATAACAACCCAAGATCCGTGTAGCGAAAGGATTAATCTGATCGTTCTATTGCCTCTTTTTTTTTTCTTTCTATCGGTTTCCTCATCTATCCATCCATACATATATCCAGAGCCAGAGATAATTACATTACAGAAAAGAAACAGCAGCGGATACAGCACAAGAGGATTGTTCTTTATATGCATAGGCCTGCAAGCCTAATTCATAAATTCATCCATTTTACATTCCACCTACTGTCTCCGAGCAAGTGCAATAGTCAGAAATATTTGTTGACCCCTATAGGATTCCTCACCAATTACAGTCTAGCTCTCTCGAAATCATGTATATTCATTCTACAAAATATAATATAAAATTAATCATCGTATAATCTTCACTTATAATATTTCTCTTAGTATTGTAATCTTATATACTTACATAGACTCTTCTCGTAAACTAAAGATTGCAATCCAAAAATACATATTTACCTCCTAACTATTAATCACTTAGTCATTCACTTTCATGTGATAAGACTATATCCTCACTACTAATATCATCTTCAATATTTTCCTCAATGTTTAAGTCTATCTCCTCTAACTGTAACTCAGTCTCATTAGTTATAATTTCTCATCTCCATCATTAGTAGGCTCTTTAAAAATTGACCTACACTCTTCTTGATGTGATGCTGCTATTGATGTAGTATTTTCAATGATCCCCTTAGGTTTAGTCTTGATAATTACAAGCCAATCTTATTTATCCCATTATATATTCAAATAGTTAATAAAGAAGACTTGACTAGCCTGGCTAGCAATGACAAAAAGGACATACTTTTTATATCTTCTATCTCGATTTACTTCTGTAATATCATAAAGTGAATGCAACCTTGTTCCTCTATTTTATACTAGATCAAACCAATCACAATTAAAAAGATACAAGTTATTCCCTTCATCAAAATATTTCAACTATTGTACATCCCATAATGCTCATAGTCATCACCCATATGTTGTTACCTTTTACACATACACCACAATTTTCTATTTTCTGACCTTTAAACCAAGCTTTCGTTTGAAATTTGTAATCATTGATAATAAAAATTGGCCAACATTTTACTGCTTTCATAAACCTTGAAGCTAGATTCATTAGTCATTGATCATGCACATCTTTGGCTTTACTGTGAACCTGATTGGTGCAAGAAGTATATAAATGTATTATCATTTTTACTAAGTTAATTGATTAAGACATATAAGGTAGAAGTGACTTGTTGAAAAACATACTGTATTTTTTGAAGAAATTTGGAAATTCAGATTCAACTCTTTTCCTTCTCTAATAAAAGTGATGTAGTCAGACCATTAACAAAATTCCTACTAAATTTTAAATTTAGGTTCTCTATGTATGAGTCTACAAAATGTATAGAATGTTAACTCAAATATACTCAAGATATGGATCAACTTTAGCATAATTAAGCAGTGTGTACAATGTGGCAACTTTCATCTCCTTATCTTTCAGATAATGTACATTGGAAGCGCATGTTGGTTCATCATGTTCGTTGAATATTGTTATGTTAATGATAGATTGACATATATCTGGATTAATTAATTTTGAGGTACAATATTCCTTGCTAATTATAACTCTGGTCTAAGTAGTATGAGCAAAATTGGATAGTCTCATACATTAAGTATGCTTTATATATTAATCCTTCAGGACGTGAGTTGTTCTTTACAGTCTTCTTAAGTTTGTTTAAATATATGAATGATTTATGGTTATGAAATGATAACTTGTTAATAATATTAGGGATGTTATGTCTACACATGAAATTACCTCTCGAAAGAATACATTCACCGATATTGAACATGTCCACAAA